GTGTGTGTGTGTGTGTGTGTGTGTGTGTGTGTGTGTGTGTGTGTGTGTGTGTGTGTGTGTGTGTGTGTGAGTGTTGAGTGGAGTGTCGGGAGCGGAGGGATGGTGAGTGGTAACGCGCGCGTGTGCTCCAGCGGGCTGTGTGGTATGATGCTCGGTTCAACCACGGCCGCAGGCGATCATGAAGAGAGCTCGTAACGGCTTCACGCGCCCCCACCGGCTTGCAGCAGGGCGCGGCAGCGCGGCGGGCGCCGGCCTCAGGCGGCTGCGCGCTCTTGGCCCGCTCGCCTGGTGAGGGGGGCGACGGCCAGCAACGCCGCGTGGAACATCTGCTGCTGGTTGGCGCGCCGCCAGACCTCTGTGAAGTGGGGGTCCTTGGTCGGCAGCCCGTGCGCCCCGTACGCGGCAAGGCCCACGCCCGTCGCACCTGGGGGAGGCCGATGGGGCGGTCAGTCGGGCTGGGGTGAGCCGTGTGGCACCACTTGCCGTCGAACCGTCCTAGTCGGGTCGCCGGACAAGGCGCAATTTGCCGCGCTTGCTCTTGCACCCACGATCCGCACGCATGCCCCAACTGCGGAGTGCGAACAACAAGCATCCCCGCGCCGCATGCGCTCGCAGAGCCACACGCGTCGCCACCTGCTATCGCCGCCACCTTGTGCCACAGCGAGGGCGCCAGCAGGGGGCTTGGGATTGCCATGCCGATCAGTTTCAAGTGCTGTTGTGAAGTTTTGTGAGGTTTTGACAACGGTGCCAGGTCACCTGGGTCACTTGCCTGATCTTGGCCGCAGTACAGGCAATGCGGTGAATCGTGAATGATGCACTTCGAAATTTTACATACAGCGCGCCACCCAACACTTGTGATCAAGAAACATCAACGATCAACCCGATCGCACACGTCTCGTACTGCAGTGAGCAGCTGCATACACTTTTTTCGACGGCACTGCAGGAGTCGCGAATCAGCTTACCAGGCGTGTGAGTGATCAACCGCGGTCACCTTGCGGCAGTCGCCGAACGCCAATTCGCAGCAGCAGCACCGCCTGCGGCCGCCGCCCTTGTGTGCTGCACCAGGGGGTCGGATTTGGAGCAGTGGCCAGCGTAGTGCCTTGTGCCAGGACTATCATGGCAGCTCCACAGCTAGTGTGTGTAGGCGACCGGATAGGAAATACGGTGAGCTGCACGCAGAGTTGCAAACTTCGCACAGGTGTGACGTGCCGCGATTGCCAGGTTGATGAGTGGCGTGCTGACTGCCCCACGCAGGACGAACACGCCCCAGGGCCAGGCACATACGTCCGCAAAGGGTACATCCATGCATCCGTGGTCGGCGCGCGGCAAGAGTCGGCGCCGGGGGACGGCGGGCAGGTGAGGGTCGAGGGGCGTCCAGCTGCTGGGTAGCTTCCGGCTTCGAACCGCCGCTCCAACTCGCGCACGACAACTCGCGACAGCAGGGCCATCCACGCATCCCAGGTTCTCGCGTGCGCCGCCCTGCAACCCCGTCACACCTCCCTCATCCCGCCGATCGGTGGTGACTACTCTTTGGCCCAACCCACCACCCAACCTCGCTGTGCGTCCCAAACCCCCATTCCCCCAGCTGCCGGTTGTCGAGGTGGCCAGCCGCAGCTCCCAGCCCGTAGTGCCGGAGCCGGGCGTCGTCGTCACCGCCAAGGTGTCCCAGGTGACGCCGACAGGCGTGCACTGCCGCATCCTGTGCGTGGGACCCAAGGCGTTGGATGTCGAATTCAAGGGACTCATCAGGTGGGTGCTCGCTCACGCTTGATGAATTCGTGGTGGTGGCAGCAGATGCGAGCGCGGGAGGGCACATGTGCGCCCGATGGGGCGCGTGCTTGCCCCACACGCATGGTACCCCTGCCAGCTTTTACCCGGGCGTACGACGGGGCGTGCGTACGCATGCTCACTCATGCAACGACGCACACTTTGCTGCGTGTGCACAATTGAAGCGAGCCCCCAATCACGGCGACTCGCCGTCTGCAGGCCTCCCCATCCCCATCCCCACCCCCACCCTGCTCGTTTTGAATGCAGGCTGCAGGACGTGCGTGCCACAGAGGTGGACAAGGTGGCGATGTACGACTGTTTCCGGCCGGGGGACGTGGTGAGGGGGGGGGGGACGTGTGTGAGGGAGGACACGGGTGTGTGTGTGTGTGTGTGTGTGTGTGTGTGTGTGCGCGCGCGCGCGCGCGCACGTGTGTGAGTGTTGAGTGTGAGGCAATTCGCTGTGCCAACGGCCTGCGTCCTACATCATCGCTGCTGGCGCGTCTCGGCTTGGGCGTTTCACGTTCTCCGACCTTCTGGATCGCGTCCCGCCGCTCCCGTGCTCCTGCAGGTGCGGGCCGAGGTCGTGAGCCTGGGGGACGCGCGGTCCTACCACCTATCAACAGCCAGGAACGAGCTCGGCGTGGTGCACGCCACCAGCATATCAGGCGAGCCCCGCCGGGATGGCGCCGCGCTTTGCACTGCCCCAGCTAGACCCAATCTTGCCCCCTGGCCCCCTGTCGCGATTGGGCAGAGCGTTGCAGCCGCCTCGCGCTGATCTGTGGCACCTTGCGCGCCCCGCACCCGCAGGGACGCCTATGGTGCCCGTTTCATGGGAGGCGATGCGCGACCCGGAGACAGGCCGTGTGGAGAAGCGGAAAGTCGCCAAGGTCGCGGTCGCGGCAGCCGCCAAGTAGCTGCCTGCATGCTGCCAGTCAGCTGCCTGTGTATGTCAGGAAGGGCTGCTCTTCTTTGTTTCTGCCGCGCCCCAGCGCTGCCAATTATCACACATCAGCTGGTCTCACCGCTGGGGTTCAGCAGCCTTGTGCCCTTGTGTGCATGGACGCAGCCGCATTGCATCGGCCCAAGTACCTTGTTTAGCCCTGCTTTACATTAGTGCAGATAGCCCTTGCAGGCGTCACCAGACTTGCCTGCCCACACATGTAGTGTTGGCGCTTGAACAGTTTCGCTGCTGATGACAAGCGGGTCAAAAATAGGCAGCAAAGTGCCAACGAGTACAATGGCAGTTGTCAGGATTAAGCCAGACGACGAACACCTGTCACACACAAACACACACATACAGTGCCAAGCCGGCCGAAACAGAAAAGAAACGAGGGAAATCAAGACGCGGCCTGGGGCTGCCAGGTCTGAGGCGCCGAGCGCATCCTGCAGTGCGTGCCCGCGGCCTGCCTGTGCTGTGGGCCTGCACAGGGCCGTGCGCCAGTGGGGCCAAGGGGCGCGAGCCGTCCAACACAGGCAGCGTACTCGCCGTGCAGCAGCGCCTGCAAAGGGTAGGAGCTGCGACCACGCCCACGTGCATGGGCACGGTAAAGCCCAGCTCAGGGGTGTGCATGCAGGGTCTCAAGGGCCGCCAGAGACCTGGCCCCCAAAGAATGTCAGGGTGGTTCCCCACAGCCGCCGCATGCGTCCCTCACACGAGCAGGACGGCGTTGACGCACCCTGACGCAAAAAAGGGATGCGAGCAACGAGTCATGGCGGCGAGCCCAAGAGTGCAGGCGACTGCAAAGGATGAGCGACGCTCAGCCCCCTGCTTCAAGCGCCCTTCGGATCACGTCCAGCCGAGGCTGCCCGCACAGCCACCCGGCCTGTGCGCAACAGCGGAGCCATCCCCTACGCAGGGGCAGACGAGCAGGCGCAGTCAGAGGCCGAAACACGCACCGTCGTTCTCGGGGTTGTTGGTGATCTGAGCGTACTTGCCCCACACGACCTTGCCGCCGGGCGTCACCAGCCCCAGCTCGCTCACATTGACCTCCAGGATGGTCCCCTGGCGGGGGGCGTCATGCACGGCGCGCGTGTGAGAGTGGGTGTGTGTGTACGTGCGAGCGCCCCGGATGCTTGCAGTGGTGCATGTCCCTGAGCGAGCTGGCCAACGCACGTGCGGGCATTGCTGAGGGTGCACACAGCGCGGAATTTAACGCGATGATGCTGCCCCTTGTGCACATCCCCCCACCCCCCTACCCTCACCTTGGTCATGACCCCCATGCTGCTGTACATGGGCCCGTTGGGGTTCTTCTTCACGCCCAGAATGTCCAGGCAGAAGGTGGCCTGGTCACAAGAGGGAGGCAGACATGGGGTGAGGGCGCCAGAGTACCCTGACACGACGAAGCCGCCTCCAACCTTTCCCAGGCGCCGCTCGCGCGCCGAGCCCAAAAATGCGGCCGCAGCGCAGAGCGAGCCCGCCACGGCTCCCGCCCCTGGAAAACTAGCTAGCATCTGACCCAGTGGATAGACCAGAGGGCCGGAGGACCCGCGCACACCTTGAGCTCGGGGTGCGTCACGTGGGCCTTGGTCATGCGCAGCCCCGTGGGCCTGATGAACCGCTCGTACTTCGGCGGCTTGCGCGTGAAGCCGGGCCCCACAAACGTGACCTTGGTGATCATGCGCTTCCACGACTTCTTCTGGCGCTTGCCGCTCTTCATCACCTTGAACATCTCGTCCTCTGCAATGGGCCGCACCTGGGGGCGCGAGGGGGGGTGCGCGAGGGGGTGGGCAGGTGTGCGCTCGCCGTGTGTGCGGATTCTACGAGGAGATGCTGCGTCCTCGGTTGCGTGTGGGTGTGTGCGCACGCGCGCATGCGTCCGTGTGTCAGCGCACACGTGGGCATGGGCGCGCCCATGCGAGCAACGGCCACGTCCCTTGGCGCACATGTCCAGAGGGCTACGCAGCTGCTGCCCAGCCCCACAGGAGGGGACGCCCGCCTGCCCGCCCGCCCGCTGGGCCCGCACCTTGGGCAGCGGCACCTCCCACTTGCCGGCCTTCTCCTTGCGCTTCTGCTTCACCGTGTTGCTCAGCACCTTGGCCCGGTCAACCTGCCATCAAGACGGATGCAGCAGGGCGCGGACGCATGCGGCCTCAACACCGCATGTTGGTGGGCTGCACGGGCACTGATAAGCTCGCGACGCCTGCGTCTGCACCGCTGCGGGCCCGCGCTGCCGACCTGCGCCCGTGACAGCACTTTTGCAGCGCGACAAGACGACAAGCCCTGCAGCGGCTGCCTGCCACCGGCGAGGCGCCAGCAGCACCCTTTCATCCCCTGCCCCACGCCGTACTCGCACAGCCATTCTTCATCGCCCCCGCCCGCACGTCGGGACCGCGCCTGCCCGACGCCCGCCCGCGCCCCCTGCGCCATGCGTGCGCGCGCCCGCCCTGCGCGGCGCCGCACCTGCTCACGCTCCAGCAGGTATGCAGGCAGCGCATTCTGCGGCGCGCCGTCGTCGGCCTTGTGCTTGCTGTCCTTCTCCTCGTGCATGGCGATGGTCTTCTTCATCATGGCCTTCTCCTGGTGGCGCTTCTTCGCAAACATCTTGCCCTTGAGCCCGATAGCCTTCTTGGCATACTCGCTGCGCTTGTGCACCTCGCGCGCCTCCTTCTTGCGCTTCCGCTCGGCGTGGTCGAGCTGCTGGCCATAGCGCTTGCGGTGGAGCTCGATGTGCTCGTTCTGCGGCATGGCGGCGGCTGCGCGCGGCGGCGCGGCGGCGCGGCCTGGCCGGGGCGGCGGCGGCGGCGGCCGCGCTGCTGGCTAGCGCCTAGGGTGGCCACAGCCCCGCTGTGTTCACAGAGTTCGCGTAACTTGTAGGAGAGTGCGCTGCTTCGCTCTTCTACGGCACCTGGAGCGCCTGACGCGCTGATGCACAGCGCTTTCTTCCACCTAGAGGCCTCGCGCGGCCTGCGGCTGGTTGAGGTCTGGCGCTAAACTACAAGTCGTGGATTGGGGTCCTGAGCAGCGCGTGCGTCGCCCCAACGGTGACAACGACGACTTGAGGTGCACAAAGGGGACCGTCGACGCGGCTATTGTATAATATCTGAATCTATGGGCAGAAGAGTGTACAACATCATGTGCGACGTCACGTCCACGCCCATGTACAGCACTGTGCCGCGCAGGCAGTGCAGAAGGCGGTGCGCCAGCCCAGCCTCTACATCTGAACACCGTCTCTGTCAGTTGACTGGTACGGAACATGGATGGATGGGGATTACACGCGTGCGAGCAAAAGCGCTCATGTGCAGCACTTTAGACGGCCGCGCGCTGCGCGAGCTCCTTGGCCAGGATCCGCTCCTTGGCCTTCTGCTTGTGCTGCGACTTGATGCCCATGATGCCGCCGCCCCAGGTGACGCGCGTGCCCTCGTTGAACTGCGCCTTGAAGCTCTCCACCAGCTTGCCGAACTCGCGCTGGTCCTCGCTCTTGACCGCCGTCACCGCCAGCGCCGCCGCCGTCTTCTTGTGCACGATCGCGCCCAGGCGCGCCTTGCCCTGAAGGGAAAGCGGAGGATGCAGTGTGAGAACGAGGTGCTACAGCACCGCCCGGGGACGACGAGAGCAATTGCCCTAAACCCTACAGCCGACCGTGCCGAGCACGCCGCCAGTCACGCCGTGCGTGTCCCAGCCCTAGGCGGCGGCGCACCTTCACGATGGCGTAGGGCACGCCGGCCTTGCGGCAGAGCGCGGGCAGCCAGACCACCAGCTCGATGGGGTCGACGTCGTGCGCGATCACCACCAGCTGCGCCTTGCCGCTCTCGATCAGCGTGGTGATGTGGTTGAGGCCGTACTTGACCACCAGGGGCTTCTTCTTGTCAGGCTCCTTGCCGCCGGCGCGCGCCTCGGCCTCGGCCTTGAGGCGCTCGCGCTTCTCCTTGCGGTCCTCAGGGCGGTACCTTGGGTTTTTTGGGGGAGGGGGGGGGGAGGGGCGTTGCCAGAGTGAAATGAAGCAGGTGAGCACGCGAACGCACTGGCTGCATACAGTTGCCTTGGCCACCGTACGCGTGCAGCCGGGCTGCGGCGACGAACGTGGCAACGCCCTCGGGCTCGATGCGCCGAACATGCACAGCTGATTCGGGTGCTGTCGCGGTCTGGCGACTGCATTCACCCGCCATCGCTGCCAGCTTAGCAACAGCCGCGCCCAGCCAGCCTTTCTGGGCGTGCAGCCCTTCTGTGCTTGCACGCCTTCCACCGCTACTCCCCGCTCCAAGTCATTGCGCCTGAATGCTGCCGGCTCTGACATTCGCACTTCCCATGCACACCACAGCCTCCACGCTCACTTGAGCAGCAGCTTAAACAGCGCCTCGGCCTGGCTCTTGTCCACGTGGCGGGTCACGAAGCGGTTCAGGGCCGGCGGCACCTTGAGGCGCATCGACAGCACGCGGCGCTGGCGCTGCAGGCGCACGTACTTGGGCCACTTGACGAAGCGGTGCAGGTCGCCGGTCGGCGGGGGCGCGCCGCCCAGGCCTGTGGGCGGCCGTGTTGGGGAGGCAGAGGCGTGCTGGGTACCGTGTGGCGGGCTGAGCACTGCGTTGCACTCATGTCTAGAATGTTGGGTGCAGTCCATACTCCTGCTGCTGCTGCTGCTGCTGCTGCTGCTGCTGCTGCTTGGTCAAAAACTGCACTGCTGTTCACGTTTTGGCGATGCAACCCGTTGCTGCCTGCCTGCCGGCCAGTCTGCCCACGCCACAGCTGAGTCCATTCGCGGTCCAGGCCTGCCATGAGCGAACCGCCGCTTCGCGCCATCTGCTGCCAACCACCGCAACTGCGAGCGTCGCCACCATTGCCTCTGTCACTACACATGACCTGCTGAGAGCAGCTGCTGAGCATGAAGCTTGCTAGTGTACTGCTGGACGCAGCTGCCGCGGCCGCTGGTGCCCGCTAAGGCACAGCTGCCGGCATAGCCCCTCCCACAACGTCGCAACGCCACTTTCGCCGAGGCTGCTATTCACCGCAGCTAAGCAGCTTGAAGTGCGACAGAAGCACTGCTGTTGTTGGGACTGATCCCGCCACTACAAAACGGCAACCAGCCAGACAAAGCACGCCTGCACACACTGCGTTGGCTGACGATGCAGCCCAGATCATGCGCTCACCGAAGGTCCTCGGCCGCTTCTCATAGAGCGGGTTGGTCTCCTTCTTCACGACCTTCTTGGTCGCCAGGGGCGCGGCCGCGACCTTCTTCTTGGGAGCCTGTGCGGCGCGTTGCCACGTGCAAGGGGGAGTTGGCGCTTGCAGCACATGCACATCGCTGCTGCTGGCTGCCCTCCCGGCGCCGCTGCTGTGAAGCTGCCCAGCAGCTCGTCACAAACAACGTGGTGACTGCAGTAATTAGCTGTACGCTGAGCAGGGAAAGCAGGCACGCCGCACGCCCCATAGTGGGGGCCGAGCACCACGGAGTGGCTGCCACCGCCAGCTCGTTCAGTAACAGTTCTATGTAGTACTTGGACACTTTAGCACAGCTCTGACCTCCTCCTAACCCCAACGTACGCGATGGCCGCCTGTGCTGCCGCAGCAAGCAGCCAGCGGCGGCACTCGTGGCATAGCGCTCACCATTTTGACACGCCCACACCTCACACGGCTGGACGAAAGGAAGGAGCGCACGGCGCACTCTGGTGAAGTGCGACCACCGAGAGCAGAGCAGTCACTGCAACGGGAGCACCCGTCCTCAACTGCTACAAACCCCTAGCAATCAAACAGCATGCAAAGGCCGCCAGAAGTACTTGGATTGAACTAGTGCACCTTCTGATCACGAACAGATCTGCCGAGCTGAGCGTGGACCGCGCAGGCGACTGGCGAAGCCCAAGCAGCAATGGCGCTTCAGATGTGTCGTAATCGGACAATTGGAATGGCGCAGCGGGTCACCACCAGGCCCCTGGGCCTCGCCCGGGTCTCGCTTAGAGGTCCCTCCTCCTCGGCCCGCAGGCCTGCAGTATGCAATGCGCTGCCAGCGGCTAACGCAGTCGAGTTTTCATCAGGTAAATAGTCGACAAGAACGAGGGGTAACCAGATGGTGTGGTGCGTTGCAGCGCCGCCGCTGCCAGCCAGCCTTGGCCCGGGGATGGCCCACAGATCTCCTACCAGCTGTGGCGCATGGTGCTGCTCGTATCATGCTGGCGATGCTTATGCTCATTCCTCCTGACACCACATTGCAAAACATGCATGTGTCCTGTTGCACGCGCAGCAGCGGCAGCAGTGGTGGTCAACGGATCTTGGGCCAGCGACAGCAGCAGCGTAGCAGCAGCGGCAGCGATGACATCCCCGCAGCTGCTGTTCCAGGTCTCTGAGGGTCTGGAAGCCCCTATCCAGCTCATATACCTGCTGTCGCTGCTGGGGTTCCTGTCAGTTGGGGCCTACCTCGTCGTGCGGCAGGTGCGGTGTTTGGCAGGGCGGAGCAAAGCGGGGCGTACAGCCGAGTGCGTATGTTTCTGCTCGATAGGGGGAGTGAATAAAGGACCAGGTGTGGATTTGCGTATATGTGCATGCGTGTGTGTGAGCGCGCGTGTGCGCATGCGCGCGTGCATGTGTTGCACTTGTTCAGCAAGGGAGGGAGCCGATGGATGGCGAAGGTTTTTTGCGCGGGAGCCGAGGGCGTCAGCCTGTTCCTTCCCTCACGCAGCCGCATCAGCAGCCGACACGAAGCGTGCCGGCAACAGCAGCATGGTTGCCGTGGCTCCGCAGGTGCTCATCCGCCGCGAGCTGGACGAGGCTGCCAAGGCTCTGGGGGAGCGCATCCGCACAGGGCAGGCGTCATGCGAGGTGCGGCCCCGCAGCCTGACGGCCCGCCCAGGCACAGGCCTGTCCTCCAGCCGGCGGCCACGCCTGGCGCTGGCGCTGAGTGGCGGGGTTGGCCCTCCTTGTGCAATGACTGGGTGGGGGGCGACGCTCTCGCGGTGTCAGGCCCTGCAGCTGCCTTGGTCCCATTATGGCAGCCCCGCGGGCTACCTCTGACCAGGCGCCCCCATGCCTGGTGGGCCCCATCATCACCATCAACAGGATTACTATGAGCTGGGCGTGATCCTGACGCGCAAGAAGCTCTACACACAGGTGTTGGCCCACGACAAGCGGCTGCTGCGCCTCTGGCACAACGCATGCGGCCGCAGCTGTTCGCTGGGGCGTGCACTCGCCCTGGCGAAACCACTGCGAGCGGCCAACCCGATCTCTCGCCTCCGCCGCAATGCAGCAGCCCCCTTGCAGGCAGCTCGCCAACTTGCTCAATGTCTTCAATCGATGCAGGCGACAAAGAACCTGGAGAAGGCCAAGCGCGTGTGGGACGGCGACGAGGCGGAGCTGGCGCAGGTGCATAACGCCCTGGGCTTCTGCTATTTCCAAATGGCAAAGGTGCGGCCACGCATGGGGGTCATGCGGCCCCTCAGGCACGCACCGGCGGCGATTTGCCTCTGGAGGCCATGCCACAGCGCCGCAGGGGTCGCAGCACCTGCTGTTGCATGCCTGGTCCGCTTCGGCCGTCTTGAAGGCTCCATGGGCGGACACTGATGAGCGAGGGCGAGGCGCTGAGCGTCCCCTGCGCTGCGGCGGCCCCAACCCTTTGATCGCAGAACGAGCAGGCGATTGGTGAGTACGAGAAGGCGGTGCAGCTGCAGGCGGGGTACGTGACGGCGTGGAACAACCTCGGGGACGCGTACGAGTCCACCAAGCAGTGGAGGTGCGTTATTTTTGGGAGAGGGGCAGTGAGCCCCGCGTGGCACGGCCCCACATGGTGCGGCCCAGGGCGAGGCCCCGGGGGCTGCGCCGGGGCTGAGCAGCAACCGCTTTGTTTCGTGGCAGCCGTCTGTCGCGCACGAGTCCGATTGGCAGGGGTGCTCGGCCCAAACCCTCACATGAGCCCCGCCCTGCTCTGCGCGGCCGCCCCAACAGGAAGGCCCTCGAGGCTTACCAGACGGTGCTGCAATACGCGCCCAACAACAAGGTGCGGGCAGAGCCACGCGCTGCGCCTCAAGTCAGAGATGGGGGCGGGGCTTTTGTGTCACAGCGTTGGTCAGCCAGTTGCTCAACCCCTCGCTTACGAGGCCAGTGGTTGTCCTCAATCCTCTTCTCTAAAAACCGCCCGGGCCCTGTCGTGCACCGCTCTGCCCTCTTTGCCAGGTGGCGTCGACGCGGGGGGAATACTGCAAGGGCAGGGTGGAGAGGCTGGGCTTGTGACGGGCTGTGTGGCCGTGTAACCCAGCATGTACACGCACTTGTGGCACTCCCCAGGCAGCATGAGCAGACCGGGCACACGTGGTCGACGGTTCAGCACCCAGGCCAGCACAACAACGTGCTCCCTGGCATACGCAGCCAGGGACCTCACCGGCGTTCAGACACATGGATCCTGCTGCATGCACAGGGGGTGCACCGCAAATCAGCTCTTGAAGTTTGCGCGGCGACCAAGCTAGCAGAGAGGAACTTGCTGACTCCTTGGCAAGATGTCATGCAGCAAGGCGGCGCGCCCACGACGGCTGGACAGGACCACGGTGAGGGGATCCGATCAGTGAGGGAGACGGGATACCAATGGAGCATAGAGCAAAGGTGCGACGACTGGCCCCTAGAAAAATCTCCTTTTCAGGAACTGCGCGATTCAAGCTCTCTCATTGTAGCCACGTTGTATTATGACCTATACCTATCGTTTGGTAAGCTAGACAGGTCAGGAAACTCGCTCGTACATCCCGTGGCGCTTCCCGCAACGACCGGCGCTCTTGACCGTCTTCAAATCATCCACCCAAGACTGCGCACCTATATCAGGCGCAGCGGCAGCGCAGCTGCCCCTGGTAGCAGGAAGGCGAAAAAATACGACCAAGCGCTCCCACCCGCACAGACGTTCCATATATAATTGTAGCAAATATTTCTACTGTGTGCCGACCTTCGGGCATCAGCGCTCGCCGTGGGCGACGCGTTGGCGGAGTCACACTCGGCCCACTCCCTGCGCTGTGGTGGTATCGTGGCCCATTCGGCGCCATGGCACTCTCCCGTGTCGCCGACGTCTCCAGCCATGCCGCGAGCTGCGGTGGGATGGGCGTGGTGCCGCGTCTTCACCACCCTGGTGTGCGCCTGCGCATCGCCGTGCCCTGCGCCGCTGCGGCCGCTGCGGGCGTGCAGGAGCAGTATACAACATTTGAGGTCGTGCCTGAGGAGGCGATCAAGGTGCGCGGCGCAGCGCCCGGCTCGCAACGGGCGGGTCGGTTGCGCGCCTGACATGTGGCTCTCCCATGGCTGGTGCTGCGTCGTACCGCCCCGGCCCTCCCTCTGGCACTGCTGTGCGCCGCTCCTCTTGTGCTGCCCCCCATCCCGCCCCTGAGCACCCACCCGCCCACACAAATACAATCCGTGAAGGACTTGAAGCTGCACATGCTCAACCGCGGCTTCACGCGCCCGCCGGGCGCCGGGTCGTCCTGCCTTGTGTTTGGCGAGCTCGACGAGAGGGCGCGCGCCGACCTCGTGACCGCGTCGAGCGCCGGCGGCGGCGACTGGCTGCACATATTCGCGCCCGCGGCGGCGGTCGAGAGCGTGTCTGTGCGCACGCTGCTGCAGGAGTTTTCGCTCAGCGGCGGCGGCGGCGGCGGCGGCGGCGGAGCCCCCTGCGGCGCGCCGGCTGCCGCGGCGTCACCCGCGGCGGACCCGCTGCCGCTCGTGCCCGCCGCCGCCGCCGCCGCTGCGACGCCGCCGGCCATGGTGCATGTCCTTGTACATAAGTCGGCGCGCGTCGCGTGGCGCCGCATGGGCGACGGCCTGTTTGAGCTGTCCATCAGCAGCCCCCCAGGGGCCCCCCCTTGCGACGACACGAGACACCTCATGCGCAAGGTGGAGGACGCCACGGGCGTCAGCCTGCGCGACGGCCAGCACAAGCTCGTGTACGGCACGCAGGTGCGCTCGCGCATGAGGGCAAACGCGCCGCCGCAGATGCGTCCCAGCGCTGACCCGCTTCCTGCGGTAGCTCCCCAGTTGGTGCCCAAAACTAGCGGCATTCCCCTGCGCCCCAGCCCTCCACCCCGTCGTCGCCGCGCGCAGCAACTCCCCAACTGCGCAACCACCACCAACGCCCAAACCCCCAAACCCCAGGTGCTGGACGCGGGGCGCCCTCTCGCGTCCTACGGCATCCAGAAAGGCGCCCTGCTCAAGCTCCTGCCCGTCGAGCCCCCCGCCTGCTGCAACGGCCCCGACGGCGGCGCCGGCGGCCGCGAAGACACTCTTCCGGACGGCAGCCCCCGGCTGGCCAGCCCGCTGCACGAGCTACACCGCCACTGGCGCCGCGCCGCCGCGGGGCTGCTCGAGGGCCACGCGCCGCGCCTTGCGCCAGCGGGGACGGGTGCGCGAGCGGCCAGGGGCCGGGCGGGCGCCTGCCCTTGCACCTGCTGTGCTAGCCGCTGCCGTGGCCGCTTCCGCAGGGCTTGCACTCGCCGCTTCCCTGTCAATTGCGCGAGGCGACCTGAACACACTGTTTTACCCGATTGAGGATCAACCCAAGCACCAACGCGGTTGCTCGTCTCTACTCTGACACGCTGTCGCCACAACCTTGGCCATCATCCTCACCCTGCCCAGGCGGCTGCTACTTCCTATATGATGAGGAGGGCAGTCCGGTGGCGGTCTTCAAGCCGGAAGACGAGGAGCCGCTCGCTGCCAACAACCCCAAGGGCCGCGCC